CACAATATTGCATCTAATTTCCTCAAATTATAAATAAAATTAATCACACAGAAAATTTTCCACATTTACAATAGAGGTAGTGTCAAAAACATGCAGCATATAAAATGGAAATAGCAATAATAATGATAACAGCTAGGGTAATAATAATAAGAATACAAGTGAAAATTGCCGTTGGCTTGTGTCACACAGTATTGGCAATGTGGTATAGAAATCCTAACATGTTTAAAAATATTGAATATAATGTTCTCTTTACATGATATGGTGGGGGAAAAACAAAGATTACAGCCGTCATGGAGATAAGTTGGTGTTTGCAATTATGAGAGTAAAACAGAGAAGTAACAGGACCATAAATATAATAGAAGTAATAAAAGTAAAACTTGAAGGTATATAAGGATGGATGGAGGAAATTGTTTATTTACTAGATGAAAAAAGGTTAGTTAATTCTTGCCTGACACTATTTTCATCACATAAAATACGTGCCAAGTATGGTATCATAGAATTCTTATACTTAGACGTGCGAGCATACAGTTTTCTGAAGTTACTCCTTGTTCTACCTGAGGAGATGCAAGGTGAAAGCTGAGGGTAAAGCGGATGCTCCAAGTCAGACAAAATCCCTTTAGCAAATTTATTGCACGAAGTCAAGTGCCTATCGACAACGACGTTAACTATGTGGTCCACTGGGACACCACTCACCCTACTGACAGTCTTCAGTATTCTACGAATTGTGACATAGTCTTTTTAAGCAAACCAGGAAAGAATAAGGGTGAACAATAAAGAAGAATAGGTAGGATGCAAGAGTTTATGAACTGTAAGAGGAGGGGTTGAGTTATACCCGAGTGTCTTAACTTCTTAATGTAAAATGTCAGGCGGAATATTTTACTGGAGATTGCTAAGACATGGGAAGACCAGGAGAGATCAGAAGAGAGAATGAGTCCAAGATACTTAATTTCTGATTTGATTCCTATATCATTGTCGTCAATTTTACAAGTGTCATGAGAATCGATGACTTCTTTTAACTGTCGTTTACATCTTAAGCTGAAATCAACAGTTTGACACTTAGAAGGATTCAGTTTAAGACCGTTAGACTCAGACCATTTGCTGACTTCCGATAGAAAGCTATTTATTTTAGTACAATCTAGCTGGGAGTTAACAGCCATTGAAACCGTTAAATCATCAGCGTACTTCACAAAGTTTATTTCATCAGAGTGAGGCAAGTCATGCAAGAAGAAAGAAAAAAGAAAAGGAGAAAGAACAGCACCTTGAGGGACACCAGCTTCAGTAGGCAATGAAGTGGAAGACTTCCCTTTATATACGGTGTACTGCTTTCTATCTGAGAAATAGGAATGTAACCAGTTAACAGCCCAACATTCTGTTTGACTAGCAGCAAGTTTATTTAATAAGATGTCCCTAGGGACCGAGTCGAAAGCAGATGTATAGTCTAGGAAGGCGCAACGAACAAATTTAGCCCCCTTGTCTAGACTGGAAGCAATGTTATGATATAAGACGGCAGCTGCATCTAAAGTGCTTCTACTGTGCTTATAGGCAAATTGTTTAGGGTCATTAAAGGATTTAAGCGAAGGTTCAAGACTAAGTAAAAGTAATTTCTCCATAGTTTTCAAAAAAGGAGAGGTAATAGCAATGGGTCTAAATTTGACACATGCTCCAGTAGAAGATTTAGGTATGGGTACAACTTTAATGTCCTTCCAAACGGCAGGCACAATATTATCGGAAAAAGATTTGTTAAATAGATCAGTAAGAGGGTGACACAGAATATCAGAACATTTTTAAAGATAATACTATGCTAAATACTGCGTTGAAGATGCTGTCTAGAAGGACGACGAAAGCTCCGCAACTAAACCAACCAGCTCAGAGAACACTGATAATGCAAATCATCCACTTGAGCTACAAATCTTCTCTATTAGAGTATAAATAGACAGAAATAAACGCTTGAATATTAAGTGGGGATGTTAATTTTGTACTGTAAAATAGTCAGTTTAGCTGTTTACTTGATAAATTTAAACAACTAGGCTCTTTTGTAGTTTTTTCTTTCCCTTTCTTCTGTTTTTCACCCAACATTTTCTCTGTTTAGTCGCCCTTTTTCGAATTCTCTAAAAAGAATAATATATATATTTGATAGTAAATACAAAAAGGTAAAAATAACTAATGAAGACAATATGACGGTTCAATCAAGGTAATATTGTTTAACTCGTGTATATTTAAAATATATACAACAAATAGTTCAATTTAATCGTCGGTAGTTTATTCAGACTTTTATTCACCCGAAGAGGTATACATTCAGTTTTCATACTTACACTAAAGGTGACCTCGAGTAATGTTGTAAAAATAAAAGAGTACAAAGAAGAAGTAAATATGACTATAAACCTTATTTTCTTTATTATTCTAACTTTTGTCTAACATTACTAAATATTCTTTCAGATGACTATTATCTTCATTACTTTCTTCTCTTTTGTTTTCTAATATATATACAAGTATATGCCTATATAATACTGTGATTGTCTCTAGTAATTAATATCCTTACTGACCACGCAACATCAACTTTGATTTTTATCAAGAGAAATGCAGTGCAGTTAATACTTAAACCAATTTAGGTCGTATATATTTATTTATATGAATCTAGGGTCAGTGAATGTGATAATGCTTATTATAATAGTGACAGTTTTTGAGTAATTACTTGAAAACATATCGTTTGTTAATTAGTTTTACACAGGAAAAGTAATTAAAGATACTTTCGGTTGTTTCTACTAGTATCTTCTAGACTGTTGTGAATAGGAAGGTGGCTACTGGGTGTTGGCACCGGAATTTCTTGATTTATGCAATATTATTATTATTATATTATTGTATCCTTTAGTTCCTAGAGGAACATAGGGCATCAGCTAAACGTCTCCATTGCGTTCGGTTTTCTGCCAACTTTTTCACCCCGCTCCAAGTCTGTCCACATGCTTTCATCTCCTCTTCACATGACCTCCTCCAAGTCACCCTTGCATTGACGATCAACTCGCTGCTTCCCGTCCGGGTTCCACTCGAGGGCTTGTCTAGTGATATCACTTGGTGGTTTCCTCAGCATATGGCCAATCCATCTCCATTTCTTCCCGCCTATTTGTTTCACAATCGGTTCCTGCTGTGTTGGTTCGCTCATTGCCAGAGATCCCTGCTGCTGATCTTGTCTGACCATCTGATCTCGACTATTGAGCGAAGACAACTGTTAATGAAGGTCTGAAGTTTGTTTGAGATGCTCTTTATGACGCGCAGTGCAAGTCTCTGATCCGTATAGTAGCACTGACTTTACATTGGAGTTGAAAATCCGGATCTTATTTTTGATGGTGAGTTCTGTTGACCTCCACACAGATTTGAGAGTAGTGAAAGCTTGTCTTGCTTTTCCGATTCTGGCTTTGATATCCTCGTCAGTTCCGCCTGTAGTTGAGACGATACTTCCCAGGTAGGTGAAGGAGGCTGTTTCTTTCAGGTTCCTCCCATTTATGCTGACTGCCGTCTGTTGTTGTTGCTGTTGATGTTGACTAGGAATCTTCATCAGTTCTGTTTTATCTATGTCCACTTGAAGTCCTATCTTTGATGCTTCTTCTGCCAACTTGTTGCTTTTTACTTGCATATCTTCCAGTTTGTGGGAAATCAGACATATATCATCGGCGAAATCCAGATCCTCCAAGTCTTTTGTGTCAGTCCATTTTATGCCTGTTCCCTCATCGCCCGTTGTCTGTCGCATTATCCTGTCTACTGCAATCAGGAAGATCATTGGCGATAATAGACAGCCTTGTCTCACTCCCGTCCTCATTTCGAAGGCTTTCGTAAGTTCTCCGTTGTGGATTACTTGGCATGCAGCATTGTCGTATAGCTGTTGGATGAGATGTATAATTGTCGATGGGACCCCATAGTAGGGAAGTAGTTGCCAAATGACCTCTCGATCGACGCAATGTTTTACTACAATTATTATGTGGGAGGAATATCTGTTATTTGGGTTGACTCCCACCTGTTGTACTGGTTACAGCATGAATTATATTGGCTCTAAGACCAGTCAATGGACAACTATTGTATTAGTCATATACACATATTAGGCATTTTTAATTAATAGTTATAGCGTTTGTAGATGAGAGCTGTAAACAATATTCAATGTAGCGTATAATGAAGAAAAAAGAGGAACAATTTAATGCATACCTCAAGTGAATGCCTAAAAGTCAATTCGATTTGATATATTTCGCTATGTATAGCAGTATGATCATGTATTTTTTCATTAGACCCTGACGTAACTTTCACATTTACATATTCTTGTAATATTTAGTAGGTATGTTCTTGTGAATTGTCAAACACATTTTTTGTTGGAAACTCTGAAATTAGCTGAGAGACAACCGGGGGTTAAAATAAGGAGATTATTTCTGGTACAAAACCCAAAGCAATCGGAATATAATCTACCTGTTGAATGATAACGCAAACATGAAACTGTGAGTTCGTATTGAGCAGTTTGAGGCAATCAGTAGGAAGCCCTGAAACTAGGTTTCATGCTTGTCGACACTTTTTGACGGGGAGTATTTGTGAGGACGATTCATCCAGCACAGTGACGATATTGTAAACTTAACTGAAAGAAATCAGTCAGCACCAACATCAAACACTAGAAGCATGACAATTGTTACACTCTAGTGACCAATCAGCTTATTCGTTACAGTCCTACAGAAGATCAGTTATGAGAGCAGATAGCTCAGTGGTAACGTCTCTAGCTGAAGAAAATGGAATACACGGGTAAATATCTCAGAGGAGATTTCAGTTTCTTCGAGGTTGAAGGTACATCCTGACGATGAGTAACAACGAGCACAAAACCTAGGTACAGTGATTCCTGTCGACTTCACATTGGAATATGAAGAAGTTAAGCTGCATTCAAATCAATGTTAGTGTAAGACGCTACAATTTAATAATAATGGGATGAAGAAGTATCATAGAAATAAGCGCATATCAAATAAACACATGTATGAATGTTTCAAAGTGCTAATGAAACCATTTTACGTTGTGAATGTATGAATTGGTCATCTGCTAGACGAAATAATAATGAGAATGTAAGTATACTGTGAATTATATAATGTGATACTGGGTTATGTGTATAATAATAAATCAGAGGTTGTGGCTGAAGTAACTGCAAAGTAATCGGTGAAAATACGTCCAGTAGACATAATAATTGATGTTTAAAAGAATGGATGCGGAACAAAGAATACTCTCTTCGATAACTTCATCATCAGGCTCTACAGTTATATATACATTATAGTGAATGAATGAATTAGTGTTATGAACAACATTAATGCTGTTTAAATAACATCGAGTCAATAATATTGATAGATTACAGCTAAATAGCATCAACATAAAATTGACTGAATGTCAGATAAATTAGGAAAGATAATATTACAAATTCATGAATTTATATTCTCTACTGAAGGCCAGGCCAGTAGTAGTGGCTGGCTGGACTTGCTTCTTTTGCACACAGAGCACTGGTTGTTTCACGCGAATTGCAATAGCTTCTGCTGTTTGGAACCTGTGGTGTTTCGATGGTTTTGGCAATTTATTAGGCACCCGGTAGATGATAGCGAAGGATTCTTCAACGCCGGCTTTGTGGAAGGTTTGGACCAGATGGTCTAATATCGAACTGTTGATGGTTTTCACTACACCCTTACTTAGCCGTACTGGGAGGTGTTCTTAAGCACGAAAAATCAAGTTCTTAGAGCAACAGCAGATATAACTCTCTCCACAAGCGCAATTGAATTGGTAGATACAATTTGAAATGGCCAGTTAGTCTAAGTACTTCATCTTTCAGTCGAGGTAGCACCATTGGTCGCGTAAAGTTCACCAACATTAAAAGTTTTTGAACGGATTTCTTAATTTTTTCGTAGTTATCTCACTTGGCATATCGTCCTTGAATTGCAGTCGTATATAAAGAGGCCTCCTGTTTACGGATAGTGAGTAGTCGTTTTCCGTTTTCTTTGTCATGTGTTTCTTGATAAATTTGTCGGGATAGTTATTTTCGATCAAAGTATCATGTACAATGCTTAATTCATCTTCAACTACCTCTTCCGAGCATATAGCTCTAACTCTGTGGCTGAGGGTCCTTACTAAATTTGTTTTGTGCTTGATAGGAACGAAGCTGTGAAAATGTGTATATTGTCCTGTCCAAGTACCTTTTCGATGAAAATGTCTTTTTATGCTACCACCTGGATTTCTTGTAAGGAGGACATCCAGGAAGGCAATTCTATTTTGGGATTCCTCCTCGTACGTGAATTTCATAGCAGAATACACAAAGAATGAAGGTGTCATCCATATATCGGCAATAAAATGAGAGCTTAAGGATAAGGTTGTTTAAAGGTCCATTTTCTAGCTTACTTAGAAAGAAATCAGCCAGAATGGACCCAATGGGGAGCCCATCGCCACCCGTCCACTTGCATGTAAAGCTTGCTGTCAAATTTGAAGTTTACATTCATGGTACATCTTAATATCAATTTTTTAGGATCTCAGTATGAATGCCAATGTTTATCAACTGCTTGTCCACTGTTCACCTATGTAATTAACTGTTTCTATCACAGGTACATTTGTGAATAAAGATGTTACGTCCAGAGATATCATGGTTTTGTCCTTGATATTAATATGTTTTATTTTGTCTAGGAATTCAACTACATCTTTGACTCTATATTTCACTATCTTCTCATGCAAAGGTTTGAGAATATTCACTAACCATCTAGCCACAGCCTGGTAGGGCGAATTTCGCATATGAAGTATTGGTCTTAACGGTACCCCCGGTTTATGCACTTTAGCTAGGCCATACAATCTTGGCATAAACGTGCCCGTTGGTCTGATTTCTCCCTATAAACTATCAGAAAATATCTGCTTCCCCTTTAGTTTCTTCAAACGTCTGCTTAATTCATTCTATATTTTGTTATTGAAATCTTTCTTCTCAAGTTTTGAAACTTCTGTTTGTCCTTCAATAAATCATTCATCTTTTTAATATAATCACTTCTACCAAGGACTGATTTTTAACAATAAACACAGTGACGTTATTGCAGTGTATAATATTTGTTGTCTAGACGATAAAATTTTTATGAATGCTGGTAATTTCTGAATTAAAGGAGATTTCAGTGGGAATATGTGGTCTGTTAAATTAATCTTTTTGAATATAGAAACAGATGCCTACTCGTAAGTTTGGGTGGCATTCTTAATAGGCGGTGATTTGACAAAAGTTCGAAATAGATGAACCAATTGTCAAAGTAAATCCACCATTCAAATAACAGATTCCTAAACAGTACTTATTCATAATCATGACAAATATAAAATGATTTATCCACAATACTAGATTACCCTGTTTGTAAGGTTTTTTTCATACAGCTACATAGCCTCATTATCTGCAATCTTATAGAACCATTTTATCATACCACGCAATTCCCAGTGACATATTAGTATTATTATTTTATTATAGAGAAAATAGAAACATCATTTCTGTCGTCTTTTACTCTTTGATCATAAACAGAATTGGCATTATTTGGGAAAATTATGGGATATAAGATGTAACAGTTAGTGTGACTGGTATACAAACAGTGACCTACTGCGAGATTCCATTGTTAGTATTATGCATTATAATTTATGTAAAATATTAAACTATTAGTCACTGAAACTCTACGAAATCGTTGTGGAAAGAAACTAGTATAGCAGTCTTAGGAAGCAAGAACAGGTAAGACAAGGAATGGGTCTCTAGGGACACTTGGGGGCTAATAGAAGAGGAGGTTGGTTAAGCAGAAGATGAATCGGTACAGAGATGAATGACACGGGAAGAAGGTGAGTATAATATACACAGCAGTGAAAAGACGAGTGACGAAGAGTGCTAGAGATAACGAGAGACGCTTCTGCAGACCACTGGCAATAGAAGTGAAACAGGCTGCAAGAAAGACGAATCAGGCCACCGTTCACCATTTGAGAAATCAGCACAGGTGAAACTAGTAAAGGTAGTGAGATGAACATAATTAGCAAAGAGGAAAAACAAAGGTAACAATTGAGTGATCACTTAAAAGTACTTTTGAGCTTACCACCACCTAAACTCGTCCAGAAGTACTGCCAACAGCAGGCAGAGAACTGCCAGTGGATACGAATCCTCCAAGAAAAACAGAAAAATTGAATGCAAGCTGTTGAAGGCGGGAAAGCATTAGGACCGGATGGAATCTCTCCGACTCCAGATACCGTAGTAGATATCCTCACACCACTACTGCAAAACGTTTAGGAAGAAAGAAAGGTAACTACTGATTGGAGGAAGGACTACTTTGTCAAACCATAAGATAAAAGCAGCTTAAGACTTTGCACAAACTGGTGCGGAGTCCACACCAAGTGAAATATTAATCCTAGTAGATGCCATGGATGAAGAATTTTTCGCGGAACAAGCTGGATTTAGGAAAGGCAAATCATGGGCAGACTGAATTGTATTTCTAATCACCACCAACGAACAGAAAATAGATTGGCAGTCAACTCCTTTTTTTAACTTCATTCACTTTGAAAAAGCCTTCGGCAAGGTTGACTATAAATTAATCTAAAAACTGTTTCAAACAGCGAAGTGCCGCAAACATTTGCAAAGCTTGTTCAAAAGCTACATGATTATGTCACATGTGAAGTGATCATCAAGCATTTTTTCTATGTATGACTGTAGACAACATTCCAGGCATTATATCCAACATTACACCATAATGAATTGTTGTAATAACCTTGATGATTAATTTTTGGAACGAATTTCCCATTTGAAAATCCTCATCTCTGTTTTTCGAATGTTGTGTTGTAGGGATCTGACCGGTTTAAAGATGGGTATAGTTACGAAACGACTTAAAAAATTAAAACACCACTGAAAATCAGAGGTCAATGGAGAGCTATTTTCCCCGGTTTTAGGATCTTTACCAGCACACACCCATGACGTCATCAATATTCGTCTGTCCTGTGGTTTTCAACAAATTTCTAACTAACATTAAACTTTTATCATGTAACAGTGGGTTTATCATTTTATTTACAAAAGATTGATTAGGTAGGTATACTTGTACACCTCATAGTTTTGTAATTCTCAGAAATGATAAGAAAACCTCATGTGTGATTAACTTGTGAAAGTGGTAAACACTAAAATTCTGTATCCTTAATGCATCTAGTTAAGCATGTTAAAAGCTTACTGCGTCAGCTGGTGAATATGTAACCATTTTGAATGACAACGGATATGAAATTTATTCAGTTTTAATTTGATTTATAAAAACGATTAGTTTTATAATTAACAATCATATAATCAAGAAACTATGCACAACTTACTAGCACATCCAACTTTAGGAAGCTCAGTGTGTTAGATGAAGCTAGAATGTCCAGAACTACTTATATTACTACTTTTAAAATAAGTACTATTTTTAGAAAAAACTCTTAACTTCTTCTCTGCAATAAAATGAGAAAAAACTTAGTGTATATAATTAACACAAGAATTACACATGAACGTATCAATTAAATTCTATTCAAACAAGTAACTTCAAAGTTTAATGAAAAAAAAAGAATCTAAATTATCTTCAAATAAAAAATGAAATAACAAACTATTACTTACCAATGAATTATTTTCTGCTGCTGTTCCAGTCAACGTTAAAAACAAATAATTTGAAAGCTTAAACAAGAAAATTTTAATAAATCTAAATAACATTAGAAAATTTGACGGGGTTGTCTTTATTTCAACCAGTAACTTCAACTTGCCTTTTGTGAAGATACTCTTATACGCTTATCCGTAGTCAGTAGGATGTAAAATTGTACATTGTCAAGGGTTCATTGTATAACGGTATTAATTCATTGATAATTACACATACGCACAACTTAATGATGATTACCGACGAGATAAAAGACCAGATGCGAAAACTCCTTCCTGATTTCCACCAAATATTTACGAGTAATCTCGTGGAGTGATTCGAAGCTTGAACTTTTCATCGCTTATTTAAGATGGAGCAGAACACCAGAACTAGCTAGATAATTTAAAGAGGCCAGTGTTTATATGCCCATCGCTCGTCAGTTGAACAATTTGTATTCGCATTCAATAAATTTTGTGTTGAACTACTGTAAATCGCTCACAAAATTTAGATACTTGAAACAAAAGTAACAAGCCCAAAGGATATGTAACAAAGGACAAGGGTAGATTAGTGGCAACAGTCTAAAGTTATTTGCATGGTTCACTAGGGTAATTTGAAAAAAATTAATTATTCTGAATGGATGGGAAGCCCTGCATCGAAGGTGTGTGCTTATTGGAACTTATCAGAAGTAAAACTTGTGACTGCAACTACGTGTGATGAAGGTTAAGATTTCCAAAACGACACCAATTCTTTTGCGATTTTGGATACGTCATCTTAGTGACTGCTGATAAGCGCAAAACTAGATCCTAGGCCTCCTGATGATTTCTTGGAACCATCTGACATCAATCAGTTGAAGGTTCACTAAGGTGATCAGTCTCCAGTCTAAATAATCACATTACGAAACTTGACTATTAAAATCCATTCAACCATCCATCAATGTAAATATTGATTTATTTATTCTAACCCCGTGAAAAGAAATCATTTACATTAAAATTTGAAGCACAGTAGAGCTCTCTTCGTTCTATTTCCATATTCCATTAATTGCTATAAAATTTTCTTTTTTTAAATTCTATAATTATGTAAACTAGTCAAAAACAGATCGGTAAAACTAACTTTAAATAACAACATCAAATTATCAACATACAGTGTAACAAAGTAATTCAAGCAAAATATGCAATTACACAGTTCTGTATGGGCGTATCTCACTGCTTTGTAACAGTGGAACTTATGCTTAGGAAAAACTGGCTAGCAGCCCTGTGTGAATTATTTTTTTTTACTTTTCGACAAGGATCAACACCGTATGCGTGCAGCTTCTAAGGAGTTACCATCTCGTATCATTTCATCAGTACCAGGGTTAGAAAATTTTAGCAGTAAACCAAATAAGCTACGCCTTATGCCAAAAAGTCTACACCTAGATGGTAGTTTACGTACTTATTTGGTTCTAAGTGTTGGCCAAGGTCGTCTATATCTAAGTGTGATGTGTGTTAGTTTAGCTAAGTAAAATGACAGTATTGTACATTACAGCGCTTGCAGTTTGACCTTAGAAGAGTCAGCCTTTCTGTTTGTTGATATTCATCATCATATTTCATCTTAAATTGGAATCTATGTTGTTCAGTGTCACTTACCTAATGAATATTCTGACTGACCACGTTTTGTTTATGGAATTATTACTGTTAACCAATAACTTACTTTGATAAAAAAATGCTTTTATTGTCTCCTTTACTACAATGTTTATATTGTGTACTACTTTGTTTCTTTTTCAGCTATCCAACTGCATTAATTCAGAAAATGAGTGAAAGTAATTCTTAACGAACTAAAGCATGATTGTATATTCTTTTATCATTTTCTTATTTACATGTATAAAGTTAGCAGATCTTTTATTAACGACTCGAATGATAGTGGTGGAGGAATCTCCAAACAACACAATCATCGGTGACTTGATAACTAAACTGCCTAATTCATTAAAAAATAATGTTAACCAATTACGTTTCCGTGTCATTACTAGTGAATACTCAAAATACTTCTCTGTTAATGTAACAACTGGCCTAATACGAGTTAATCAGCGATTAGACCGAGAAAGCATTTGTTCAAAAACAGAAACAATGTATTCTACTTCTTCTAGTAGTTATGATATTCTGCAAAGCCTTGACTTTTTGTGCCAGATAACATTCAATGTCAATATTTTGCGTGTTTTGAATTCCGGTGTTGATATAGTCGACATGATACATCTAATTATTGAAATTAAAGATGTTAATGATAATGTATGCCAATTCCTGCCGACAAATAAACAGGATATTTATGTGGTGGAGAATTTATTCGATCAAACCGATGTAATCAAAGTACCTGTTAATCAGTTAACTGATTTAGATACAGGTCCTAGAAATGGAATTCATCCATCTAGCATTCAGCTGAAATTTGATCAGTTGTCCAATGTTTCAATGGGTGAAATTTTCGGCTTAATGATATCGAATACAAGTTCACAAGTTTCTCCGTATTCAATTAACCTTCTGATTAAACAACCATTAGATTATGAAAAAGTTCAAAATTTTAAAATGACTGTCGTCGCCAGCAGTTTAGCACCCACGATATCATCTATTGTTAACAGTATAAACAATAAATTGGAATATGAAAAAGACTTAAAAATAAATACGGAAAATGATCAGTGTTCTTTAGATATAACAGTACATGTTATCGATGTGAATGATCATCCTCCAACATTTCTTGAAAGAACTGCATACCTATCTATTATGGAAAATACTGAAAAGTACACATCAATTTATACACCTAAAGCACATGATTTAGATGCAGGACCAATACACAGTCAATTAATATTTGAATTGAACTCTATGAATTCTCCTTATATCTTTTCAAATTTTTATGTTAACTGGCATAATGGTTCTGTATTTTTAAAACAGACACTGAATTATAAAGAAAGGTCAAAATTTAAAATTTTGCTAACTGTAAGAAATCCGAGATTGGAGGAGATTGTTAATAACTCCCTGAATAGTAATAATGATAACAATAATAGTAATAATAATAATTTAAATCAATATTCTGGAGACATTACTACTACAAATCACTATTAAGTAATACTGATTCTAATTTGATAAATAATTTATTATATGATACCATGGAATTATTTATAGAAGTCATTGATGTTAATAATCACAAACCTGTTATTGCGTATACACACCGAATGGTAGTCATATACTAATGATACAAGAACATTTACCTAGTGAAAATCTACCAGTAGATTTTGCCTTAGTCAGTGTTACGGACGATGACAGTGGACGTAATGGTGAGTGAAGTGTGAACTGGATAGAAATTCTTCATCACTATTCAAGCTAACATTGATAGGCTATGAGTCAAGTACTGATAAATTGATAAATGAGAATAATGACGATAATGAATTAACTGATTTCCAATCGAACGATTTAATCATCTATAAGATATCAGCTTTGGTATCATTTGATCGTGAACAGAATGCTACAGTGTACCCAATGATTAGATGTATAGATCAAGGAAGTGATCGTTAACTACTGAATATATTGCACAGATATATATCACAGATATTAATGATAATGCACCAATATTTTCACACACAGATGTATATATTAGACTTATGGAAGACAGTGATCCATTAAGAAGCCAAAATAATTATTATGTTGTAAAGTAAATGCTACTGACAAGGATATTAATGAAAATGCAGAAATCTCTTATTATATTTTAGAAGAATCTGTTCAAAACATAATGATAATGAATGAAACTACAGGAAAAATCAAGACAAATGGTCACTTGGATCGAGAAATGAATGCCTCATTCAGTTTTACTGTGATTGCTAAAGATCTCGGTGAGCCGAGTAGATCAGCATCAGTCAGTATTTATATTACTGTTGAAGATTATAATGATGAATATCCAGAATTTAATAAAAGAATATATGAGTTTTCAATTGTTGAAAATCCTGTACAAGGCTATTATATTGATACTATAATTGTTAGTGATAAAGATATTGATGTGAATAGTGAGTTGTCATTTCATCTTGATTATAACGATGAAGAAGATATTACCTATATGAATAATGGTAATGATAATAGATATCATCAACAGTATGAATTAAGATTTCCTTTATATAAACAAAAACGTTTACCACCATTTAAATTAACATCGAAACGATTAAACGATCAACATACCTATGAATTGAATTTATTTACCAATGGCAAAATTGATCGGGAAGAAATTATTCGTTTAAATCAGCGTAAATTAAAAATAGCATTAGAATATAATGACTATAAGAACATGAACTCTGAAGAAGTGGAAGAATTGTCACGGTATAAATTACTGTTGACAGCGGAAGATTCTGGAATGCCAAAACGAATTTCAACTGTTTTGATTTATATCAATATCATTGATGTGAATGATGAAGCACCGATTTTCATTAGTCCACTTCAAGAAGATATGATTTACACTTTATCGATTAATGAAGCTCCGGGATATCAAGTTTTAAAGGTAATTGCTTTCATAACGTGAAGAATGATAGTTAAATATAAAACGACTTGAAACCTTTTTCTGCAAAGCCTATTTATTATCAGTAGTCATTTTTCAATAATGTGTTGTGAATCTGAAGGTATTTAATTACTGAGATACGAAGATGTAGTGATACGCCAATTTTCAGGTCGTGAGATCATTATCAGTGCCCTACTTTATGACGACTTGCCTATTACCATTTTGTATTCCACTATATAGTTTAAAAATTGTTGTATAACACTTAAAATATTCAAATGGATTCTGAATAAATTGTCACTAAAATGTCAACTATCAATAAAATACGCTCTCATTTCAAGTAAGAGTTTGTTGTTAGAGTTGTCTTATGTATTGTCACATCAAACTTACCCCCGTTACTTCACTCAGAGAACTATCAAACAGCAAGAGGAAAAATTCTATCATAATTACTTATCATCAAACACTTCTTTTTAGTTTCAAGAATCAATGAATATAGATATTTTCATTGAAGTAATTTGGTGGGTATTGATAGTAGTCGAATCCACGATGTGCATTTGATCCAATTTGGAACCCATCATCTGGATGTACCTGCATTTTCAGCGAGCGAGTGGATAACTCTTTGGCATTTGTATTAATAGGGACTGGGTCCGAGCCCCAGAAGTGACACCGTTACTCACTTGAAATGCAAGCACATAGAGTTGACTAGTCCAAAATAAAATATTCTGTTCTCCACTGTTAATCACCATCCACCCAATTACTTCAAGTAAATTCTCAAACAGCTTTGAAGCGTCTGTGCCAGCAGCCAACATGTGACTTACTGATTGGTTTCAATATAGAACTTTGCACCGATGTGCAGCAGTTCGAGTCGCCGCACTTCAGTCCGTACACAAAGCTAAAAGGGAAGACGAATGTAAAAAAGAATGCAGAATAGAGACAGTAAACAGGGATATGAGACAAAAGAATAGTAATATAGAACAATAGTTTTATCGGATATGATAAATCACAAAGAGTGAATGCATCCGCACCAATGAGAACGATTTTGAACCATATCACCAATTGTCTCCAGCCATTGTTTTTTCCATCCCGAGGACTCCAACCAACCTGACGGTCTACACCTTCCTACGTGAATGACTGACTTGAACTAACTGTTGGGATTTCACTAACTGATGAAGTCGTGTTTTTGTTTGGCCACCACAAGCTCTTTTCAACCTGATCATCATGTCAGCTAACATTGCCCGTCGAGAAAGGCGATGGCTAGGCATGTGCAACACATTTCCTAACCATCTTATTCGATGTAACTTCACAGCCTCGTTTATTGATTTCTCCTCCTTACCTAGCACTTGACCCGAGACTGACCTCAGTATTGCTTACCGTATGATACCGTTTCACACGGGAAATAGAACGCAGACACCTATGATCAAAAACAACTAGCTGGCCCTTTCATGTCTTCATTCTGAATGGCCAAGTCTCACTCACTGCCATAAAGGAGGATGGAGTGGGCTGCTGAGGAGTACACACGGCCTTTGGTCAATAGCCAGCTGGATATCACGTCTATGCCAGAGGCGGCGTAAACTGGATCATGTGAAACCAGCCTTCTGTACCCGTGCTGATATTTCGTCAGAAATTGACCCATTGGCGTTGGCTGATGCAACCTCCCAAATAAGTGAAGTGGTTAACACGATCAATCACCACTTCACTCCCTATTTCTAAGCTAGGAGTCAATGTAGTCCAGTCCTGTAGCATCATCCTACATTTGATGGGAGCGAATCTGATGCCAGCATTCGAACACTGCTGTTCAAGGCGTTCAGAAGACTCTGCCTTTGTCAGCGTCTTCAGCCAGATGAGACGACTACATCATCTGCATATTCTAAGTCAACGAGATTATTCCGTGATGGTAACAAGTCAATCCGTGAGTCTCTGAAGTGAGTTAGGATTAAGTGCACTAGTACATCTATGACGAAAATAAATGGAAATGGGGATAATGGGCACTCCTGACAGACACCACTAGTTGTCACCAGTTCAGATGACAAGTCACTGTAAGCTCTCATCTGGCGTGGCTGACTGCATGAGTTTGAGTAGAGTGAGTTCCTTGATCAGTGCAGTGTATTTTCTCGGAATTCCATTTACAGCCAAGCATCGCCAGAGCACCTCTCGGTCGACAGAATCGAATTCCGTCTCTAGGTCAATAAATATAACGATTGTTGGACGCCGACGATAAGTATGCGTATGTTCCAGAATCTGTTGAAATGTGAAGGTATGATCAATACACCCTCTTCGTGGTCTAAAGCCTGCCTGATTTTCTCGTGTTTGTACCTCCCGTGTACCACTTAGTCTACGCATGATTATTGAGCCTAGACTTAGATACTACATTAGTCAAGCTAATCCTTCTGTGATTATCACAGGAAGACTTGTCCCCCTTCTTGTATATGGGGATAATCAATGACTTACACCAACCGATGGGACTTCTCTGATTCCCATGCTGAACCAACATGTCAATGGACTCCGAACAGTTCGGCCTAATCAATCAACCGGAAAATCACAATGAATTTAAAATAAACAATATATCCACTGGAATTCAATAAACTACTATCCGAAATTTTACCATTTATCAACTGCATTCTCTATTTCATGCTTTAATTGATAAACATATGCGGGAATATAAAAATTGAACAAAAAAGAATGTCCAGTAACCTTTGTTCTACATGAATAAGTGCAAATGTTAAGTAGATTTTTAGTCAAATATTTTATTTTATATAAATTTGTTGTTCAAAATTAAAAAAAGAACCAGAAGTGAATCCTGCCTTCAAACACATTAGTGAAAATATGAAAACAGGGATACATAACGCAATCGTCTATGATTTAATAAATGACTAATTGACAAAGCCTGATTAATTGTTTGATGATCAATACTCTTAATTATATTTGATTTTTTCCTTATTTTCTGCATAACACCCTTTGTGTGTAATGATTGCTTTGTTTTAATGCAGAAATAGCCAACTAGTTGGACGATTTAGACTTCAAAAAAATAATTTTTCCAATGAATGTTGCTTCATTGGAAGAAGTTAAAAATTAGCTCCCATTGTGATTATTCTATACGGAGTAATATCGTCTCATACCGATGTTTTTATTTTGATAACAGAGAAATATATTACAGTTCACTACTTCTTATCAGTTTATTCTTATTATATTACTGTTCTCTGGGGTTCTGAGTGGAACAATAGGACTTCAACAACGCCTCTTCAATTTGTCCTGTTTTTTGCGGTCTTCTTTAGCTGCCCATAATCTCTGATCTCCTCCAAGTCACCCTTGGACGACCCACTCTTCCTTTACCGTGTGGCTCCCACTAGAGGATCTGCTTGCCACTCTGTGTAGTTCAACGGTTTCCTCAGCGTATGCTCAATACCTCTTCATTTCAACTAAATATTTGTTGAGCAGTAGGTTCTTGGTTGGTTTTTTCCCAGTTTCTTGTTGCCAGTTCTTCCCGGTCGTCTAATCTTCAGCATGGAGCCAATGAATGCAGTTTCTGATAAACGTCTGCAACAGGCTAATATATGTGTAAAACTTGGGCACTGTGGTAGTAATTAATTCCATATTAGTTTGTTTATTAGATGCATTACACAGTGAAACAGTATTACTTACTGGATGACGTTTCGAACACAATTTATTGTTCATAATCATATCAATTTTGATCACACGACTTTGCAGGCTGCACGTCTGCAGCAGGCTGTTGGAAACACTCTTCTTAATGCGGTAAGTTTCTGACGTATATAGCGGAACTGTCTTGATAGTGGTGTTGAAGATCCGAATTTTGTTCTTTACGTGGGGTGCAGAGATATCTCTTGCCTTTTCGATTCTGGCTGACTTTGATCTCTTCATACGTTCCGCCCGTCGACATTTGAAAGGATCTTGTCAAGAAAAGTGAAGGAAGTAACCTCTGTTAAATTCCTCCCGTTGATGGTGATTCGTTCTCGTTGTTATTTTTGACTGGTTGATTATCTACATCACCTCCACCTTCTCTATATCCACTTTAAGTCCCGTCTTCGCTGTCTGTCTCTTCATTCAGCTTTTCAGTTTTCACCCGTAAATCTTCGAGTTTGTGTGACATCAGACATAAATCATCTGCGAAATCCAGCTCTTCTAGAATCTTCCTTTCGGTCGACTGTGCACCTGTTTTCTCTCTCCCAACACACTGTCAGAAGCATAACCCAGTCCATAACAGTTAGAAATATAGTCGGTGAAGTAGGCAGGCAGCATTGTCTCACTACTCTATTCACTTCGAGCTCCTCGCTGAGTACTCTGTCGTGGATCACTTGATAGGTAGCACTGTCACGTACCTGTTGAGTGAGGTTAATACAGATTTGGGACACTTGCCTCTGTGGTGCTGAAGTAGTTTGTATTTCCGCTGTCAACATTGTTGGAGACCCTTTCAAAGTCGATGCAATTGAGGTAGAGGTTTGACTATCATTCTATGCTTTGTTCGATGACGATGTGGAGAGTTGCAATTTGATCAGCACATTATTTGCCTTTCTTGAATTCAGATTGTTCCTGTGGGTGGAGTTCTGTATCCAGTACATCTTTTATTCTCTCCCAGATGACTTAGCATTTTACTTGGCATAAACAACAGAATGATTGCACATCAGTGTTCGCAGAGGCCTAAGTCAGCACATCCACTACGGTCTCTCAGTTCGTTTTTAGTGCCTCATGGGGAATTCCGCCTGGTCCTGCTGCCTTCCCAACTGGTCTTCGGTAACTTGGTCGTGTTCAAGATTTCTGCTTTCGTTGGAGGATTAGTGTCCACTAGCAGTTCTGTTCGTGCTGTCAATGGCGGTATTTCTGGCCAAATTGCAGGTGATGGTCGATTCAAGAGTCCTTTAAAGTGATCAGCCAATTGTTTTGTTTGTTTCTCCTCCTTGGTAATTAGCTTCCCTTGACCGGTTTCACTTGCATTGATCTCTTCCTGGATAACACTCGGTTATCTGATATAATATTCTGAGGTATGTTTCATCTGCGGTCTGCCTGGCTGTCTGTTCTGCTTCAGTTGTCAGTGTGTCGTAGAGTTGCTTTTTATCTCTCTTGGGACTCTTCTTCACTTCTATGTTCAGTGAGATGTACGTTGAACTCAGCTTCTCCTTATGTTTTCCGTCTTTTCATTAAATCATCTGTTTCGCCATCCTCCCCTCCTCTATTAGGTTCCAGGTGTCCGTTGAGAGCCATCCCTTGTCTTGTCTATTCTTTCTTCCAAGAACAGTTGTACACGTTTCCTGGAACATCACCTCAGAGAGCTAGTTCCAATGTTCATGTACACAGGTTTCCTCAGTGATGCCACGTAGCGTTCCTGCTTTGCTCTGATCTGTTTTGCAGTGAAGACATCCCTTGTAGTTTTCTCCTTCAGTTTCTGGATGTTGAACTTGAATTGTGGCCTGTCTCCAGTTGTTCTGAAGGATTTCAGCTTCACCATGAAGGTTCCTCGGACTAGATGATGTTCAGAGGACACGTCTACTCCCCTTATTCACTTTGTTTCCAGCCGACTGGCTACATTTCCACTTCTTTGAGCAGCATTGAGGTGAAATTTATTTAGTGTGTAATTTGTTCGTCAAGCGAAATCCATGTTGCCATGTATTCTTGTGCTTGTACAGACTGTCCGCCTCCAATTACCAAATCATTGAAGGCGCGGAATTCTGCGGAGACTTCTCCCTTCTCATTCATTTCTCCGAGAGCCTGTCGACCGGTGATTAGTTCTCTCCTGTATTGTCTGCTCTCAGTTTGTCATTCATATCGCCCATAAGGATTTCGATGTCGCCATTTGGATGTTGTCCATTACTGTTTGTAGTTGTTTTTAAAAATCTTCCTTCTCTTGTTCCGCGTTGTTTTTAGCATTGGATAAGTGTCACCTCCCTTCCTGCCTTTTAAGTTGAATCTGGCTGCCATGATCCTGGATGAAATCGGTTTCCACTGCATTAGAGCTTTGGCTGTCACTGGCGACATCATGATAGCCACTCACTCCCTCAGTGTGCTGTGTTTGCTATCTCAGTGACCAGAGTAGATTACAGACTCTTCATTTGAAAATTTGGCTAGTCCACACCCATTCCATCTGCTCTCGCAGATTCCCAATACTTCCTTGCACTATTTTCTCATTTCTTCAGCTACCCGAACAGCCTTCCCAGCTTTGTAGATCGTACGAACATTCCATGTCCCCATTCTTCTTTTCACTTTCATCGAAAGGTGACACACTGGCTGACTGGCCTCCGAAACCTTTCATCAGCCCGCGTAACTTCATCTCTCCGATTCCAGTGCTTCAAAGTTCCTGTAGCAGTCTGGTTAATTTTCGGAGTAGGGTTGCTAGCCCCATACCTAATCCTCCCTCTTTTGCCGAGCTAGTGACCGGCTAGAAAACTAGCTTGCTAGTAAACTAGGCGAGTTTTCTTATCAGCTTAGTTTGCTACAAATAAAAAATTAGCTGATCACCCTAAAATATTATCTTTTGTGTCGCAAGGTGAACCTCACAATCATCCCATACAACGAGTTGTGATGCACATATCACTCTTATTGTTTAATGATTGACAGTCGAGAGATTAAGGCAAAGAGTCAGAGCAACAAAATAATTTAATTCCTAGTATTTTTCTATTAACTGGTTGATTAATAGTTATGTACCCAAAAGCTTACTTGTTGCAACGATGCATCGTCATATCTTTCAGCTACTCAAAACAGTTCATAATTCACATATCATATTATTTCAATGAAGGATATCTCTATGACTGAAATAACTCCTTCAGTTATTACCTACTATCTCTAGTTCAGGCAGTTGTATACTTTCTGATTCGCAGTCTTATATTACCAAGTAATATTACCTCAAAAACCAAAGTATTATGCTTCGAGTGTCTATCACAACGAAAAAATAGGATGATTTCATAACCTCTAATTTTATATTGTACTAATCTACAATAAACTGATTTTGATCTGCGAGTTGGGCAACTTGGGTTGACATGGAAGAGATCGTGCAAGAAGGAGATGAGAGCTTATGGACAGTTCTGGGGCCAGATGAAGAGGATTGTAGAGAACATGATATGCTGTTGGAGCCCTATATTTCACTCAGAACTCAAGGGAATAATAAAATATACAAAAACAAATAATCTACAGTTATCTGTTTTCAATCTACAGGTCTACTGTTTATTTAGTTATTTTTCTGTTGGCGTTCTACAGTGTAGTTGGTGACTTGAACCGACAAACTCTTGTATTGCTTTCTACAATGTTGTTTCTGTTTAGAAATTTTGGTTAAAGAACAATAAAATAAATCGAAAAACACTAATTCGATAATCTAATAAAGTAAGTAAAATCTGCGCTGGAGATTTTGTCTAAAGGGATGATGAAAGCTTTGCAATTAAATCAACTAGCTCAGAGAACACAACTACTTTAAAAACAATGATTAATTTGCTACTTTCCTCTGCCTGAAATATTCATAAACAGGATTTTTTCTGAAGGTACAGTTTTGGTAGAAGAAATTTATCTGTAATGTTGAGTAAAGTTTGGAAAAAAATAAGTAACTACTTACTACTTTGTACATTTCGAAAAGTTATTTAATCTTTGCGAATTAATATGTCTAACATTCGATATTTGAAGATAATCAGTAAAAGGTACTTATAGCCTGTGTTCCTTGTGTATTTGAACTCGTCAGTTAGGTGCACCTAAATTACTTATTTATTTTTTTTATTCCTTCACGTTCCCATGGAACATAGGGCTTCAAGCTAGAGGCTTGAAGTTTGTGTAGCAGTGTTTATTTTACAGGATGGAGTTGCTTGCCTCATGCCCAACCTTTCCTCTTTACCAGCATTATTTCTAGCTTGGTGAGGTAAAGGAGTGCGCCGGCCGGGGATCGAATCCCGGTCGGCAAGCGTCCTATTTATTTATTTATTTATTATAATTATTTTTATTATTTATTTATTATTATAATTATTTATTATTATTTTATTCTTTTACGTTCCCAGTGGAACATAAGACTTCAGGCTACAGCTTCGAGGTTTCGTAGCAAATGGTCGGGTTGTTAGCCTCATGTCCAGCCTTCTCTCTTACCTGGTCTTATTACCGGCTTAGTGAGGTTAAGGAGTGAGTCGGCAGGACATCGAACCCAAAATTACACGCGTAGTTGGTGAGTATTCTATCGCTAAGCCACCGAAGCACCGCTGAACCTACAGTGTGTCAGTAAACTGAACATACATCGCTTGGAACTTCAAATAAAGATTTTATCACTACTTAATTACATTTGATAATAATGTTATTATTATAATTTTTACTCAATATCCATTCTACTTTTCTTTTATTCTATAGTTTAAAGCTAACGATCCAGACGATGGGATAAATGCTAAAATTAAATATTCATTAACAGAATTATCACAAACAAAACTATACAATGAAAATGAAAGTTTATCAACTTGTGAAACTTTAAGTTTTAAATCTTTAAAACATCAAAATACATCTTGTAATCTTTTACAATATCTTTATTTAAATCAATCATCTGGAAGTTTAACTTTAATTAAACAATTACCATTAAATTTATTAAATACAACATGTCGTCTACGTGTTGAAGCATCAGATATGGGTATAATCCCGCTACAAACAACACGTTTATTTTGTTTACATTTAATGACTACAAATGATTTAAAACAAGTGAAATGGATGTCATACACAAAACAGTATACACATTCGATATTGTATGTTTATATTATAGTGCTGTAATTAGTATAGGCTTAATTATATCATTAATATTTGTATGTATAGCATTTACTATATGGAAATATCCTAAATTGGAGATGAATCGAACTGCTATAAAAGAATCAACTTCTTATGATGATAATCATCAAATATCGAGAATTCGTTGTGTCACTGAAAAATCTAACACATCTACTAATGAAGGTATGTTTTTAAGAATTTTCTCCTGCATTTTATTATGATTATTTCGTTTATAGAATAAAATATTACATGAGCTTTAATGACACTAGACAGATTTCTTGCTTTATAGTAGTCACTGATGAAAATATTTTACTAAAGATCATAATTGAAGTTAACAATACACCCAGATTTGCGGACTGGAGATACTCTATTTACAGCTGCAACAAATAAACTATACGAATTAATGCTGACGCTTTTTCATTGTCCCTTTGGTTCGTAAGAATATCCATTGCAGATTACTGCTTTCTCTGAAGTAATGAAACACGATAAATGATGAATACACTGAATTTTAAGCTTTCAGATATTGATTTGACGGAATTTGACTGATATAAGGTAGAACTGATTACCAACCGATATTAGTTAGGGAACCATTGACAATTACACGGTACTGTACATCTGTTCATTTCCATTGTGGGACTCTTCAGTAGTGCGCGTTCATGATCACACTAGGTATTGGACACAGGACCTTTAGATTACGAGACCCACGAATTCTAACCTCTGCCTATTCGAAATATACGACACGATGTTGGTTCACATTGAAGTCTAACAAGAAAGTTGGATGCTGTTTCAACTATTCCAAGTTTTGTATATGAAATGACAGATCTCTAATTCGTTCAAATGAAAACCACTTAATTAAATCCGGTCAGTATTAAAGCTTTCTATCAATTTTTTCTTGTATAACGAACAACTCTGGAATGACAAAAATAACTAAAATGATAATGAAACTGGGCTAAATTCAATGAAATCCAGATGAAGCCTTTAGCTACTGCTAGCGACGATGGCCTTTATTTAATTTCTTCTACTATACTGCATATCAGATAATGTCAAACTATTTAAAGAAGAATACGTGTTATGCATCAATAACTTAAGTCCCGAGTGGTATTCTATTTTGGAGACCAAAATGTTGGTTGAGTCTGGTTCTCTTGAACACATTATTTAGCGATAAAGATATTCATTAGGGCATTAATTTTACAGTGTGCTGCTACTAAATGAGACTTTAAATCTGATTGGAAGCATTTCGCCACCAGACCAAATAGCTTCATCAGCACTTATTTTATTTTTACGAGTTGATCACGGACTGGTATCAGTTAGAAAACCATTGAAAATCAGGGTGTACTGGACAGCTGCTGTTTCATCCTGGTTTGGGAATCATCGGAAGTACGCACCCACCGTCAGGGTTCAAAACCAGGACCTTCCGGTTACAAGGCAAGCTCGTATGCCATTCAGCCACTGGGGCCCTCCTATTCAATGGCCCATGAATTCTACAGGACGGAGTTTCCTGGAGTTCTAGTGAGAAGTCGTGACCAGTGAGGTCCATTCATTTAAGTGTGCGAATGGATGTCCCACCGACGACATTGGTTGGGGTCGCGCTAAATCGCGAATTGGTAGAAGTTATAATTCATGGGCCACTGAGTCGGGTCCCTGTGGCTGAATGGCATACGAGCTTGCCTTGTAACCGGAAGGTCCTGGTTTTGAACCCTGACGGTGGGTGCGTACTTCCGATGATTCCCAAACCAGGATGAAACAGCAGCTGTCCAGTACTCCCTGGTTTTCAATGGTTCTCTAACTGATATCAATCTGTGATCAAGTCGTAAAAACAAAATTAATCCTTACAAACCAACTATAGAAAGCTTATTTTATTAATATTTTAAGAAAGAGAGGAAAGGGATGAATAGCGACAGTGCTTATCAATCTATTTACACTGACATATACAATGTGGTCACGAAATCGCTCAGCTCAACGTGACAATTTACAAGAAGAGAACATAACTGGAGAATTTTCGTAGCTCAAAATAAGCCCAGTGATAGGTTTTCCATTTGACAACCGTGTCGTTTTTGATTTGTAATTCATCAGCAGATAAATAAGACAAATAAAAAGTTGTGACCATATGAAATTCGCTTTAAAAAAAGAAGTCCGTATACCAGCTGAGTCCGATCAGTTCAATCAAATGAGGTGTAACAAAGAGAAGTCACAAAATTCAATGATAATAATAGTAAAGTTAATTTGTACCTAGCAATTAATGAAGAAAACAGGCTTATTAAAAATTACTTCACTCAATTAGTTAGTGGATCTTACGTCGCCTAGTGCAATAGCTAGGAGGTTAGTCGTCATACACATACGACAACAGATTAAAAAGTGTTTTTTTTTCTGTGGAAGAAGTTACTTTACTGAATTCCAGTTTACCAGTGTTTGCTCAGCTTCTTGTCTGGCGAAAGTCTTACTAAAAAGCGTGACATATAGGATTAATGCCTGATTTTCAATTGCAAATCAGTTTATGATAACTTTCAATTAGAGACGTCATAATAATTCTTCGAAACTCTTAATCCATAAAACTAAATTTACAAAATGAAAGCTAAGTTACAAATTAAGTAGGAAAATACTGCTTCGCCATTTAAACATAATATTACAACTAAACATACAACTGATGAAATACCTGTAACATTGAAGACTTCAATAAAGAAGACAAACAATCTCCATTAGGGAACCGTTGAAAATCAGACATCACACCGTAGATTATTCTCCCGTCATGACTATTTTATAATAACAAATGCTGCCTCGACATACAATCTAAAGCTGCAGCATTTAAGAAAATGCTTATTTCATATCAAAGTTGACAACTTCTATCCCGTTGACAGCTGAATGACATTTAGGCCTTCAAATAATTAGTTATACCGTCATCCTAGACCGCTTTGTTAGCACTAACAGTTACCATCTTTCATTACAGCTTAAAAATGGCAATTTTATTTTCCAGACTTATGAATTTCGGACTAGTTAGAATCCGTCATTTATTACTATTATTATTATTTATTTTCACAGAGATATACCATACTGTTGTATGTACAGAAAATGAATGGTCTAATATCAATCCACAATCCGCTGAAGCTAACCAATCCCAATATTTAAACAAAAATAATTATTATTATCCCTACTTCGCCGAAAGTCAATATCCTAGAAACCAACAAATTTTCGAATCGTTTCAACAAAATAAAAATCCTTCATCAGAACAGTTATTTAATGAATTAAATGTATGTGTCAATGCAAATTATCCGTTATCTTATTCATCGCTACCTCAACATGGGAAAATTTTGTTCTACGACTCACTGTAAAGAAAACTGTGCATTTACTTAGGCGTCAATTATTGGAGAAAGACTTGTAATCATTTACAGAGAGAAAGAAACAAACGAATTGGGAAAAATATTGTACAGTGTTTTGATGTTTCATGGGGAATTTTTTATATTAGGATATTATCTCCATAATATTTTCTCCCTTTTTGATCTTAAAATTATGTTTAATGTGTAAAAAATGTATTATTTCATCTTCATTCTCAAATGATACTATATTCATCTTGTAGCACATTGTCTTCCGAAGAAACAAATAAATTTAAAACAATTGAAAAAATTAATGAATAGGTAGTCGCTTTATTTATGAACGGTAGAAATCCTATCAGATCAGAGGAATGCCTATTCAATAGAATTCCAACGGTATCGACGATTAGAGTGTCAGTTTAGTGACTAACAATTTGCATAAACATGAAGACATGCAAGAATAATTCATATAAATAAATAAAAACACGGATCTTGGTACTAAAACACAAAATAAGACTCAATAAACCTAAGAAATTGAAACTTAAGACCTCAAATTATAAAGTATTCGAAGCTTCCACTAGCAAGCATCATTTTGAATCCGTTCAAATATCATAACGCTGTGTACTTGTTAGTGGTGGACGGTAACTCAGCCTAAAACTCATGTTAGAATTTCACACTTATAGGTGAAGTCATACTGCTGACTGTACTGAAATATGGCAACAATGAGGCGTGCCATACAGCAGGCCAGCACTTCATCATTATTAACCTTATGAAAAAAGGTTAGACAGCATTGGAAAATTGGGCGTTTTGTTTTACACAGAATGTCTGACTTGTTAAGAGTAACTCACTTTCAGATATATCAGAATTTCTCACAAAACATGATGTGGTCGGCTTTGGCTCTGCAGTTGAAGAACCACTGTTCCCTTCCAAGTACACCGAATACCTTTCTCACTTAGGACAACAGAAAAGTATCAAATTTCTGCAACATTTATCCGAGATAATTTTCATCATTATCATCCACACTTATAATTATCACTAATTCTTTACCTTTCCCATCGTAAGTATTAAGCCCTTGATCTTTAAATGCATATTCTATAACTGTTGCTAAAGTTATTGAATCAAATATCTTTCGTAGACGGCGTTATTGAACAAACACTGACGCTTTTAACGTCAGTATCTCAAATCGAGCTTGGAAACAAGTTTCAATAGACGAAACTGAAAACTCTGGATTAGGATATTCTTGCTTTTGAAAATACATTAAATTTTAAAACATGATGTGATTTATACAGAATGATGAGTTCGTATAACTCACCAAGGCTAGTAAGAATAAAGATAATTTCAACTTTAAGGGGAATATATGTCTCGCAATCACTACTGAGTTGTTCGATTTGTACTTAGAACAAGTATCGTAAAGGCTAACACACGCTTTTGTTGTCTCAGTACACTAACGCAGTGATTAATACCTGAAGACAACACTTTGTAATTTATGTCAATCATCTAAGTTAATCCACTTTTAGGAACTCAAGAAGAATTTGAATGAATTAAGCCATCTCTAGGCCAATAAAAAATATAACTATCTGTAAACTAAACTCATCCTATGAACATCTGGGAGATGAAACTGTCTAAGCGAAATACAGAACCGCAAGTAGCATATACTGGGCGAATTTCCCAAACTCGAAATACAACATTGTATTCCGCTGTATGCTAATATAAAGCTTTGAGTGAAGTATCTGATAAACGAATCACATTACTTAATGTTGTTCAGTTGAATCAATGTAACTGTTTGAAATTTCATGAAGTAAGTAAGCTTTTGATGACAAATGGTGTTAGTTTCTACCTTGACCGCCTGACTTCAACAGTATTAATTGTTCAATATAAAACACCTTGGGCAAAGATTTTACAAAATACTTTTCTGCATAAAACAGTTATAAAATTTGCGACCTGCTTGAATCACTGAGCCACCGAAATTGCTTTCCGCCAAAATGCTTACTTTCATTAGGGTTAATCGTTGTTCCAATCATTCAGTCACATCAAATGACCTATACATGAATTTGCGCGCTGATTTAACTTACTTCGAAGTAAACGCTGTGCAATTCCTCAACGAAATGAAGATATACTACAGATTATTTTCCTATATAAAAATCCCGTATGGCAGAAAAAGTTTTTTTGGTACTGAATACGCTGAAATTTTTTGTACCGTATCTTCGCGTATTGTTTGAAATACAGTTATTATTATCATATTATTATTAAGTTATTAATAAGCCAAAAGTCTGTCTGTTTTCGACATAGAACTTTGCACCGACGTGCGGAAGTTCAAGTCGCCACACTCCCTCCATGTAGCATACAAAGAAAGAAAAGGAAAGTAGAAGAAATGCATAACAGGGACAGTAAACAGAGGTGTGAGACAAAGGAATAGTAATAATGAAGAACAATGTATTTTCATTGGAAATCATAAGTCACAAGGAGTGGATGCATCTGCGCCATTGAGAATGACTTTGAGCCATGGCACCAATTGTTTCCAACCATTGGTTTTACCTTTCCGAGGACCCCAACCAGGGAGTCTACACCTTTCTACGTGGCTTAAACTAACTGTTGTAGATTCCATTGACTGGTGCTATGTTTTGGTTTGACCGCCGCTAGCTCTTTCCCAGCCTGACCCTGTATCAACTGAGATTGCCCGTCAAGGAAGGCGATGACTAGGCATACGTAACACATGCCCTAACAATCTCAGTAGATACAATTTCACAGCCCCATCGATTGATTTCCCCTCCTTACCTAGAACTCGACGCTTAACCTCAATATTGCTCACTTTATTATACCACTTCACACGGGAGATAGAGCGCAGGCACCTATGATCAAAGACAGGTGCCTGCGCCAAAAGTACGTAGAAAAATAAAATTCTGTTGGGTACACAATGGCTGCGAGAGATGAACAAGATTTTCTGAAGATATTTAATTAAATATCTGCATCAACATAATATAAAATAATTTCCGCAGACTGATCTTCGCCAATATTAAGTCTGAAGATCAAGGATGAAATAGATGTGAAATGTGAATACTTCATTCAATTCAACTTAATGTCATCTAATTTAGTTTTATTCAATTTCATCTGAGTTTCCTGTTGACTGATTTATATTGGATAGAAATATTCGATCTGTGGTTCAAATGTAGGCTTCTTGTACAGATCACATTTCATGTTAACGGGTCCCAAATAGGAAGAAATTCATATTCTGGATTCTAGTGTTAGGCATCATCAACTAAACGATAACATTCAGTTCCACTTCAAATCGTGTTCAGCTGTACATTTCTTCATTGTCATCATATTTTATTTAAATCGATCAACACTGACATCAGTTAACATAAATGCCAGCTTTTATCATCAAACTGGTTGAAATTAGTTAGAATGCGTATCACTTTAATAAATCTTTATTGTAATCAGCTGACCACATAATTTCCAGACATACAAAAAATCTCATTCTCTTTAAAGCAACATTGAATGAGAAATGAAAGATATTATGAGGCAAAAATTATTATTACTACATGATGGTGCTAATTTTTGTAAAAATAAAATACGAAAGAGGAGAAAATCTCACAATTTGTACAGTTAATATATTGACCAGATATACACAAAAATTGAAAATCACAGAATACTTTAAATATTGACTTCATGTGTACATTTCATGACGCAGACGACTGGCTGTGATACCTGTTGAACCTCCCAGGATCTCACGTTGAATTTTTCTTCGATTATGCCATAGATGTAAGTTTTCTCGAGCCTGATAATCGAAATCGAATATACTCGGCTCAACTTGACATATACGATGATACACAAAGCATAAGTCTCGAAATTCTGACATTGTCAACTGAAATATTAGAAGAAAATTAAGACGAATTGAAAGTGTCTATATAATCGGTGTGATATAATAAAGCAGTCTTCAAAGTTAAATTCTTGCAGATACATCAACCGTTTTTAAACACTTGCTAGTCATATATTCTAACAATTTAAGTGTGGTGGGAAAAATCCACGCAAAAGGGATGGAGACATTAAAAAAAAAACAGATTTAGTAAACCAAGCCAACTCATCAGCTAACCTGTGTGGGTTGTTTGACTGGCTGTACTCCAGCTTCCTTGAATAACTGAATAACTAATTCAGGTCGATTAGAAGGAAACAGTGTCTCAAGACAGCGGACAATTTGTTTTTGTCTAAAATAAATTCAAATATAAAGATGCAGACATTAAGTCAAAATCAAATACAATTAGTACGTGTAATCGTGAATTCATCAATTTAAAATTTTACAATAATTTATAAAGCCACCAGTTTTTGGTCTGAATAGCGTAGACGGTTAAACATTTTCGTGCTGTGTGCCTGAAGGAATCCTCATAGTGGTGGAAAATCTATTCCGGATAACTGTATGTGGTTTCATTTAAGCTCAGTGATGTTTTTATCACTGATATAGTCAATAAAAGAATACTACTTGGTTACACAGTAATATTTTAACTCAAAGAATTCATTGTAAAATGGACGAAAGGTAATAATAATTAGAAAATAAAATAGATGTTTTCAAATTCCTCATTGATGGTGTGGTCGATTTTCCCTCTATCGGACTCACTTATTTGTAGTTCAAACTAAATATAGGTTTAGAGTTTTTAATTTTTAAGCGACAATTGTTTGAATAAAGTATCTGAAAATTAGTGACTTACGTAACTTGCAAATACGTACTTAAATGGACTGAATAATTCGGTCAAAGATAGACATGAAAAGTTCCTGTGCATCCACAGAAATAATCAATTTTTGCTCTCTATAAAAACTAACGGGTTTTCGAACGTTAGAACTAATTGCTGCTAGCATTGAAAAGCTTTTGTCTATCATCTATAGAGTACCAAATAAATTAGAAAAAGTCTTTAGATATCGAACGCTACAAACCGCATAGGCTATTGGAATTCGTCTAAAACAGTAGGAGCTCTACGCGTAAAAGAAACAGGTCCAGAGAGTATTGCTACCTAGCCTGCTGTGGAACCTATCAATCCATAATTCTGTGTTACTTTCTTCAATTTATCTGATATTCATTTTGGAGTTATACTGATATACATTATCACTTTTAGATTGTTTTGAACTGCGATCTATAGGTATCATGACTCAAGATTATTTATAACGTTCATCACTAAATCATTGTTGGACTGAAATAGACCACATAGCGATAGGATATCGTTGGCGAGGTTCAGTAGAAGACTGCCGTTCCTTCTCCAACACGTGCGTGGACTCCGATCACACCTCGGTTCGCACACGGATATGCTAGCTTACGAATAAACGGACATAAAAAATATTGACAGCGAAGCAGTTAATTCACCAACTAGATCGAGATACTGAGTCCCTATTTAAGGAAGAAATACAGAAACGAGTATATGAGGTCGACAGCAAGACTCCTCCTCAGGAGGCCTGGTACAGTATACAATTAGCTTCAAATACAACTATAAAAGCTGTTAATAACATAAAACCAAAAATTAGTAAGAGCCAGCCACCTCATCCGAACTGATTAAGGCAGGAAGACTGATTCCGACAGACTCCAAATATGATGGGGAGCGAAAGCTGCTCAAAAGCAAACTAACAAGAAGCCTTGGTAACGACCGTGAACAGTGGTGGACAACAAAAGCGAAAGAGATGGAAAAGGCATCGGCGATCGGTAACACCAGACAACTATTTAGACTTATCAGGGAAACAGGTGGTGAAAGGCAAACGATAAGTGAAACAATCTTTGGGAAAAATGGCACCACAATTAGCTCCCAAAATAGACGACTGGAACGCTGGAAAGAACACTTTGAGGAGCAGTTTAATTAACCTACAGCCACACTAAACTTACCGAACATCCAACAACCCCACAAATGGGATACAGACACAGGTACTCCGTCCCTAACTGAGGTTACTAAGGCTATCACTAGTCTGAAACGGGGAAGAGCAGCAGGACCTGATGGAATGACTTCAGCGGTATTTAAGTACGGTGGAGACAGCTTACTGTCTGGATTAACTGAGGTACTAGGCAGCGTCTGGAAATCAGAGGAATTACCGTCGGGTTGGTGTAAGTCATATATTATCCCTATATACAAGAAGGGGGACAAGTCTTCCTTTGATAATCACAGAGGGATTAGCTTGACTAATATAGTATCTAAAGTCCTAGTCTGTCTGTCTGTTTTCGACATAGAACTTTGCACAAATGTGCGGAAGTTCAAGTCGCCACACTCCGTGTAGCACGCGAAGCAAGAGAAGAAAGTACAAGAAAAGCATAATAGAAACAGTGAGCAGATGTGTGAGACAAAGGAGTAATAAAGAAATACAAAACAGTTTCATTGAAGATCATAAGTCACAGGGAGTGGATGCATCTGCGCCACTGAGAACGGTTTTGAGCCATGTCACCAATTGTTTCCAACCATAGATTTTTACCGTCCCGAGGACCCCAGCCTGGAAGTCTACACCTTCCTACGTGGCTTAGACCAACTGTTGTGGATTTCATTGACTGATGCCAAGTTTTTGTTTGACCGCCGCTAGCTTTTTTCCAGCCTGACCCTATATCCGCTAACATTGCTCGTCGAGGGAGACGATGGCTTGGCATACGTAACACATGTCCTAACCATCTCAGTCTTTGTAACTTCACAACTTCGTCGATTGATTTCCCCTGTTTACCTAGAACTCTACGCCTAACTTCAATGTTGCTCACTTTATTATGCCACTTTACACGGGATATAGAGCGCAGGCACCTATGATCAAAGACAGCTAATCTTTTCATGTCTTCCACTATCAATGGCCAGGTCTTACAGCCATAGAGGAGGACGGAGCGGACTGCTGAGCCGTACCACACGCCCTTTGGTCAATAGCCAGCCGGATATCACGTCTACCTGTCTGTCTGTCTGTCTGTTTTCGACATAGAACTTTGCACAAATGTGCGGAAGTTCAAGTCGCCACATTCCGTGTAGCACGCGAAGCAAGAGAAGAAAGTACAAGAAAAGCATAATAGAAACAGTGAGCAGAGGTGTGAGACAAAGGAGTAATAAAGAAATACAAAACAGTTTCATTGAAGATCATAAGTCACAGGGAGTGGATGCATCTGCGCCACTGAGAACGATTTTGAGCCATGTCACCAATTGTTTCCAACCATAGATTTTTACCGTCCCGAGGACCCCAGCCTGGAAGTCTACACCTTCCTACGTGGCTTAGACCAACTGTTGTGGATTTCATTGACTGATGCCAAGTTTTTGTTTGACCGCCGCTAGCTTTTTTCCAGCCTGACCCTATATCCGCTAACATAGCTCGTCGAGGGAGGCGATGGCTTGGCATACGTAACACATGTCCTAACCATCTCAGTCTTTGTAGCTTCACGACTTCGTCGATTGATTTCCCCTGTTTACCTAGAACTCTACGCCTAACCTCCATGTTGCTCACCTTATTATGCCACTTTACACGGGAAATAGAACGCAGGCACCTATGATCAAAGACAGCTAGTCTTTTCATGTCTTCCACTCTCAGTGGCCAGGTCTCACAACCATAAAGGAGGACGGAGCGGACTGATGAGCAGTACACCCGCCCTTTGGTCGATAGTCGAACATCTCGTCTACGCCAGAGTCGGCGTAAACTAACAAATGCGAAACGAGCCCCTTGTATTCGTGCTGAGATTTCGTCAGAGATCAGCCCGTTGGGGCTGATGGTACTTCCCAAATAAGTGAAGCGGTCAACGTGCTCTACCACTTCACTTCCTATTTTTAAACTAGGCGTCGATGTAGTCCAGTCCTGTAACATCATCTTGCATTTGGCGGGAGCGAATCGCATGCCAAACATTCGTAGATTGCAGCTCAAGGTGTTTAGAAGACTCTGCATTTCGTCAGCGTCTTCGCCTAGAAGGACTATATCGTCTGCATATTCCAAGTCAACGAGATTATTCCCCGGTAGCAAGTCAATCCCTGAGTCGCTGAAGTCACCTAGGGTTAAGTCCATTAACACATCTATGATGAAGTTGAATAGAAAAGGAGATAATGGGCATCCTTGACGGACACCACTGGTCGTCATCAGTTCAGATGACAGCTCGCCGTAAGCCCTCACCTGGCTGTATGAGTACGAGTAGAGTGCCTTAATCAGTGCAATATATTTTCTTGGAATTCCCTTTACAGCCAAGCATCTCCAGAGAACTTCCCGATCGACAGAGTCGAATGCTGCCTTTAGGTCAAGAAATATAATGACTGTTGGACGCCGGTAGGAATGCCTATGTTCTAGAATCTGTCGGAGGGTGAAGATATGATCAATACACCCTCTTCCTGGTCTAAAGCCTGCCTGGCTCTCTCGTGTTTGTGCTTCCCGAGCACCACTCAGTCTACGCATGATTATTGAGCCTAAGACTTTAGATACTATATTAGTCAAGCTAATCCCTCTGTGATTATCACAGGAAGACTTGTCTCCCTTCTTGTATATGGGGATAATCAGTGACTTACACCAACCCGATGGGACTTCTTCTGATTCCCAGACGCTGCCTAGTACCTCAGTTAATCCGGACAGTAAGCTGTCTCCACCGTACTTAAATACCTCTGGAGTCATTCCATCAGGTCCCGCTGCTTTGCCTAGTTTCAGATTGGTGACAGCTTTAGTAACCTCAGTTAGTGACGGAGGACCTGTGTCTATATCCCATTCAGGGAGGTGTTGGATGCTCGGAAGGTTGAGCGTGGCTGTGGGCAAATTAAACTGCTCCTCATAATGCTCTTTCCAACGATCCAGTCGTCTATCCTGGAGCTAATTATAGTGCCATTTTTTTCCGAGATTGTCTCACTGATGATTTGTCTTCTCCCACCCGTTTCCCTGATGAGTCCAAAGAGTTGCCTGGTGTTGCCTATCCTCGAAGCTTTCTCCATCTCTTTGGCTTTTGTCGCCCACCACTGTTCACGGTCCTTGCGGAGACTTTTCGTAAGTTTCCTCTTGTGCAGCTTTCGCTCCTCATTGAATTCGGAGCTCGCCGGAATAAGTCTTCTAGCATCTATCAGTTCGGATGAGGCGGTGGAGATCCTAGGCTCAATAATCATGCGTAGACTAAGTGGTACTCGGGAGGTACAAACACGAGAAAATCAGGCAGGCTTTAGACCACGAAGAGGGTGTATTGATCATACCTTCACATTTCGACAGATTCTGGAACATACGCATACTTATCGTCGGCGTCCAACAATCGTTTTATTTATTGACCTAGGGGTGGAATTAGATTCTGTCGACCGAGAGGTGCTCTGGCGATGCTTGGCTGTAAAGGGAATTCCGAGAAAATACACTGCACTGATCAAGGAACTCACTCTACTCAAACTCGTGCAGTCAGCCACGCCAGATGAGAGCTTACAGTGACTTGTCATCTGAACTGGTGACAACTAGTGGTGTCTGTCAGGAGTGCCCATTATCCCCATTTCCATTTATTTTCGTCATAGATGTACTAATGCACTTAATCCTAACTCACTCACTTCAGAGACTCACGGATTGACTTGTTACCATCACGGAATAATCTCGTTGACTTAGAATATGCAGATGATGTAGTCGTCTCATCTGGCTGAAGACGCTGACAAAATGCAGAGTCTTCTGAACGCCTTGAACAGCAGTGTTCGAATGCTTGGCATGAGATTGGCTCCCACCAAATGTAAGATAATGCTCCAGGACTAGACTACATTGACTTCTAGCTTAGAAATAGGGAGTGAAGTAGTGAGGTGGTAGGGGGTTGCATCATCCAATGCCAATGGGTCAATCGTTGACGAAATATCAGCACGGATACAGAAGGCTGGTTTCACATGAGCCAGTTTACGCCGCCTCTGGCATAGACGTGATATCCAGCTGGCTATTGACCAAAGGCCGTGTGTACTCCTCAGCAGCCCACTCCATCCTCCTTTATGGCAGTGAGTGAGACCTGGCCATTCAGAATGGAAGACATGAAAGGGCCAGCTAGTTGTTTTTGGCCATAGGTGTCTGTGTTCTATTTCCCGTGTGAAACGGTATCATACGGTAAGCAATACTGAGGTCAGTCTCCGGGTCAAGTGCTAGGTAAGGAGGAGAAATCAATAAATGAGGCTGTGAAGTTACATCGAATAAGATGGTTAGGAAATGTGTTGCACATGCCTAGCCATCGCCTTTCTCAACGGGCAATGTTAGCTGACATGAGATGATCAGGTTGGAAAAGAGCTTGTTGTGGTCAAACAAAAACACGACTTCATCAGTTAGTGAAATCCACAACAGTTAGTTCAAGTCAGTCATTCACGTAGGAAGGTGTAGACCGTCAGGTTGGTTGGAGTCCTCCGGATGGAAAAAACAATGGCTGGAGACAATTGGTGATATGGCTCAAAATCGTTCTCATTGGTGCGGATGCATTCACTCTTTGTGATTTACCATATCCGATAAAACTCTATTGTTCTTCTATATTACTATTCCTTTTGTCTCATATCCCTGTCTACTGTCTCTATTCTGCATTTCTACTCTGACTTTGTGTGCTACATGAAGTGTGGCAACTTAAACTGCTGCGCTTCTGCGCAAAGTTATACGTTGAAAATCTGTCACTCAGTCAAAGAGAGTCTTGACTTCTAATCGTTGAAAAAGTAAAAAATAAAAGTGAGTAGTGACTTTAAATTTGTAAATATTCACAAGACTCAGTATACCACGAAAATATAGCTTGTCTTAATTAGTGGAAATGATTCGCTGACAAAAACAAGGCTGACAAACTGAATAATCTTCAACAATTCGGAAGAAAGGTATCTAAACACCAAAAAAACGAAAAGCCTATGTGATTTGATAAAGGGTGATTGCATGTAAAACATAAGAAAAACTCAACAACATTATTACCTAAAATGAAATGCTTGGCGTACCAATTTGTTAACATATGGATACGGTATAGGAATGAGAGGTTGTTGTAAAGGAGTTAAACGTACAATACCAGCATCCACCTTTGGTACAGGTAAAAATGCAGTGCCAGGAATATCTTTTATGTACTCAACCTATTACATTTTGTGTAGAACAAGAAGAAAACAAGAAAATTAAGCAGATAACGTAATCAGTAGACAGACAGGATTTTTGCAGCAGAAATAGTAATAAATCAAGTATTGACCTTTGTCCATAGTTAATAATGTGACGAGTTTGATTTATGCCTCACCTACAAATGTTATGGTAGCCATTTAGTAATACAAACACTAACAGAAGGTAAGGCTTATCACTAAATAGATGCAGATGTATGCAGTTGTTGAACAACAGTTCGTTTTTCAAGTAAGATTCAAATGATTCATGATACTGCTGATTTATACTTCAGTATAATTTTCCAGTATCCATTGTCACTAACAACATCGTTAAATTAGGGTTAAACCATGGAGTTATCGAATAGTGGGACAGTGGTTAAGAAGTATCTAAATCCGATTCCTTTGTCTTAGTTTTTGGTTTTTAATCAAATGACTTTAGCTTATAATAATGATAATGATAATAATAATAATTTCCGCCTTAACCTCAACCCTGAAGCAAATCCGGCATTTTCTGTGAAAAGCCAAAGCCGAAACAGATTTCTCATTAGCAGGGACAAAAGTGTGTTTTTTCATACAAGAAACTCACATTTCCGGAGGGAATAATTCGAAACTTCATTTCACCATATGCAGTGCTAAACTTGGAGGGCTATAGCATTCAACACTTTGACTCAGGAAATACATGATGATAAAAAACCTGATTATGATAAAAATTATTGGAGAAAAATTTTTCAAACCCGAAAAATCCTTACATTGCAGTAAGCTTGAGACATAATTGACAAGCGAGAACGCTGTTTATCCCATACGTCTGCGGCAAGTCGTTCAGCAACTTCTTTTTGGAAAGTCAATATTAAAGGGACTCTTCCATACCTCCAAATTCCTCGTCTTTCAGAAATATCATGCAGCCACTGACATACGAGAGGAGTGGAAATATTGAATGGCAAATTTCCAATTACACAAATTCTTGGTGAATTTGTAATTTCTAAAGCTGTGATACTTTGGTTTTCCGGCACACGTAATTGATTGTGTACAGCTTTCAACTCCGAAAAATCGTCCCAAGCCCCAGCACCACGCATAGGAGTCGTAGGGAAAACGCCTTCACAATTGAATCTCATAATATCCTAAGAACGACAACAGATTGAAAAGGCGATTACATAGTAAAGTGACTAGTTACTTTTTAAGACAATCCCAATATTCAAGTTTTACTGTGATTCCGAACAAGTTTACCTAGAGGAATACTAAAGCTACATAAAACCTGCATAACTCTGTAGTAATATGAGCTACGCTTTACACAGGTATCATGAATCAGCAATCAAAGTACAGAATCCGAAGGTTAAATTTGATGGAAACAAAAAATATGTAGAGGATTTCACCGTATAGATGAATATAATGGAGCTGTAGTTTGATGGTTTTAAGTACACAACTTTTCTACCTTTCGATTACGAGTCTAATCTTCACTTCACCCGCAAGGGCGTAGTCGGCTAGAAAGTTTTTAACTTCGAGATATTACAGTGCATAATTTGTAAACGTGCACGTGATTAAGTTATATCCGTCAATTCAAATGAAGATATGCATAACAATAACGCCTCTTCCAGTGATTGGTTCTTAGCCGCACCACCCAAACATATATTTTAAATCTTTTGAGTTCGATACTGAGATAAATAGTCAAAACTTTATAAATTAGTATCATATCTTAACTTGGCTATTTTTGATTTTTCTTCCAACCCTATACCACTCCACTTAGTAGACATACGCTTAATAAAAGTTGTAGATGCTCCAATCACCTCAAAAGCACAACACAGTGGAATACATACATTCATCTTAATCACTGGTCACAGGAAAGAAGATAGGGACAACTCAAGAATTCAACTACAAAGCGCCAGTCCATGCAGTGGGCCAAAAATGCAATGACACATTTGAAGGAAGTACGTAACTGGGATCTTCATGTTGGTTTGCATCAATATCCTGTTCAACATGAATTTTAAGGGTGTAGATTCCGTGAGAAGTATTTTAACTGCCCTTTGAAACTAATTAAACAACCTACATATTTTGCGTTGAAAAACAGTATAATATGGCGTACGTGATGAAGTAATAAACAATAATAAACGCAGCCTTTACGTTCCTAGTGGAACATACGGCTTAAAGCTAAGGCCTTTAAGTTTCGTTAGCAGTGATGTTTATTTTTACAGGATGGGCTTTCTAGCCTTATGCCTAACGATCCCTCTTTAACAGTCGTATTACTGGCTACGCAGGGTAGAGGAGTCTTTCAACCGGGAATCGAACTTTGAACCAAATGCGTGGTCGGCGAGCATTGTACCGTTGTGCCACCGACGCATTAGGCGAATTAATGGATAATAATCACGACTATGATAATAATAATAATAATAATAAGTCTGTCTATCTGTTTTCGACATAGCACTTTGCACATATGTGCAGCAGTTCAAGTCGCCACACTCTATGTAGCACACAAAGCAAGAGAAGAAATAATAAGATATTTATACAAGGGCGTATATAAACTAGATAACCAGTCGTTGTAAAAAAAAGTTGTGTGAAATAGTCAGTAAAAATTACTAGCTTCCTAGAATTACATAGCAGTACTTAATTGGAAACAATAAAGATAATTCTATATTTACACGCCTCAAGGGTAGTAGCCAATTATTTCATCACTTCTTACCTCTACTTCACCTGGACATCCTATGCCTTCCTTTAACGTGATCTCACTCCCGCTAACTTAACACATCAAGGTAGACGGTTGACAGAGACCTATGGCTTTTGCAAATGGCATGTTTTCGACCTAGAACCTGTGTCTAACTTCCACATTGCTCATGTAATAGTTCCCAAGGAAGTCGACAGTGTTACGAAGGCAACGATAGATTGAAACTTCAGATATTAAATGCTCCATGTACAAAAGATATCAGGCTCAGGGGCATTCTACATTCTATCCCTTAAAAAACCACCAAGCATCTTGTTCCCATCAAGAGTATAGTAAGCTGGTAAGAGATAGGCAAACATATTATATCCATGTTAAAAATTTACTTACAACCAACCTACCAAGAGCGTCGATTTCTCAGGGTTCAACTGACAAATTGACTTCATCAGATGGTTAGTATATGAACAGAAGTGATTCTAATACTGCATTACTATCTAATAACAAATAAGTCAAATAACGCCACTGAAATAATACAGGTAAGATAGTTTTTGAACCAAATGTTTCTGAAATTATCAACGGAAGACAATGCAATAGGTTAGGAAACATACCTGTCTGTATATTTCCATTTGGGTCCCCATTTCTAATGCAGCAAGCCGTAATTCCTGAAGACCTGGAATGAACCGCCTGTCTAGCTCCACTACTGCGACGTAACGAGGACATTTCTGAAGAATAGCTCGAGTAATCCCACCAGGACCTGGGCCAACCTCCAGGACATACGCATCACGTAAATTCCCTGCACATTTAACAAGACCATTTATAGACGAAGGTTGTAATAGAAAATTCTGTGACAGTTGCTTCCGGGCTCGAAGGCCATATATTTGGATAATTTCACGAAGAGACGGAAGAGGTGGTAATGGAATAGACTAAAATACAAACGAACTAATAAATCATAGGCATAGGCAAGGCATACGATCGTCGCATCAAAGCGCATTTATTCACGATAGAAAAACAAAAATCAAAAAACGACATGCGGTCGACGAGGTGTAGACAGTAAAAATGGTTCCTTGAAAGAATCTCGAATGTACTCACTGGCCATGATCTATACGTATCGTCAGAGAATCGACTATGGCACATTGCCTACAAAAGAAAGATAACTCTCACCAGCCCACCTTTTTCGAAAATGTGGAATCCTATTTGCGTCTTAAAAATGCTCAGTGTAAAATCTCAAAACAACTGAAACGCTGATATTATGGAGCAAATAGAGATATAATGAAATAAAACAACTATTAGCGAGAATATATATGGAATATTGGCCAAATATCCTCAAATCTACAATATATATATATATATAGTATTGTAATGTCCAAATCGTTCTGCACAATGCGTCAATAATGCGGTATAGTGCCAGACGAATATATCATACGCTTAAAAAAATATAGTTGTGCTAAATTAATGTGGTGGGTGCCTAAAAATTTCACTGGAAGCTAAACTACAGAGGACTATGCAGAAAAACAACACAGTGATGTTTTGTCTACAATGTCAGAATCATTTCAGGATTTACTAAGTGTAGCTTAAAGAAACTGTTTCAGAACAGATTCAGAATTTACTCACTATAGAATGTTAGAGTTAGTTCAGAATTAGTGGGATTTAATTCAGCATTATAGTAAACTTCGGATTCGGTAGGTACTTGAAAATATTTATTTATTCAGAGATACTTCAATGGAACTCATCAATTTGTGTACGAAAATCATGAACATTGTTACAATTAAAAGTCAATCTAAACGAAGAATATTCTTTTCAATAAATTCTCTTCAGGTTCTTACAATTATAAAATATAATATTTGTGGTCGTTACAATAAAGGCCAGTTATGCGGCGGATACATTTTTAACGTAGATTAACAGATTAGTTATGGGGTGTCAAAATAAATAGTCATATTTGTGTGACATACGTGCTAGGCTGAAATCGATTAGAAATATTGTAAAACGGGAGACAATGGTGGTGATTAATCAATCAGAATAGAATTGTAGAGTGTGGGGTAGGAAAATTGACAAATCAGTTCAAGATTATAAAAGGTGTCAGGTGAGTGGTTTTTACAGAGTGGTCTGAGTTAAACAGTTGAGATAGTAAGACTGAAATGAGAGGTTCATAGTGAGATAACGAATATGTTAAATGAAACAGGTGGAGGCATATATTGTGAAAACAGATATCACTAATAATAAGTCCATATAAATGACAATTCTATAGTATTGAGGGAATGTTTGCATAAAGGGCATAAATAATGACGAATAATAATAACTGTAATAATAATATTTATAATAATAGTGAAGTAAAAAAGAAAGAAAAAAATACCAAGAGGGTTAAGGGGAAGGAGCACTCTTGGTAAGAAGAAAAATCTTCAATCCAAGGTTGGCCACGGTATGTATCCGCCGCATAACTGGCCTTTATTGTAACGACCACAAATATTATATTTTATAATTGTAAGAACCTGAAGAGAAATTATTGAAAAGAATATTCTTCGTTCAGATTGACTTTTAATTCATAATATGGGAATATTTCACACTATCAAATCTTATTGTTACAATTAACAACAAATCTCGACTTCAAACCAACCTTCCAGTAAACGATGACTACACACTGGAGTTTCCGATCGCGATTGTAGACCACTTAAAGATGCTGGGAGCATCTTTAAGAGACAAAAAGTACAAGGGGATATTTGTGAGTTCACATATTTAATTCTCATTTCTTGTAGACTGCTTAAATGGTTGGCTGCCTTCAGAATGATTCGAAGTTACCAATTAAAGTCATGATGTACACTGTTCTAAAACCTGAAATGGGTTTGAAGTTTCATTTCCAGGAGACTTTGACAAAGTCCGAGATCATACCTTATGCCTTTAGTAAAATAATGAGATGTAGGGTTTATTAGTGAAGTATTATTTATGTGGCCGTAATTATGGCTCAGTTCTCCGGCCAACTTATGTCGTCGAGGGAGGTTGGTGACAATAGGGCTACGAAATCATACTTTCAAAGGCGTAACCTGAAGAAAGGAATTCAGGTAACATTGTGAAACGCCTGCTTACTTTTATGTGTCACGGTTTAGTCAACATGTAGTAATCACAACACTGATTTTTATTTCTAGGCAAATGAAAAAGAAACAAGGGGAGCCAACAGTCGCAATTATGTATGTACACCTTTCTAAATGTAAACGCTGAAAATGTGATGAACACAATTTTTCCGCAACTAATCTCATATTTGTTTATTTACAGGATGCTACCAATGGACCTCACTTGACAGAATTGCAGTGACATTGTACTATAAATTCAAAATACAAAATTCTCCCAATTATAAAAAACTTATTGCTATCTGCAACCTAAATGAATTGCGCCAGAATAGGATAAAGGTAATGACAAGTACTGCTGGTTAGTGCTTAATATGTCCTATGAGGGCTGGAACAACGCTGATTAGCAAACCCAGTAGGTTCTGATCTACTACTGAAAATGCCTAAAAAAGAACAAGATGCTGAATTAGTTCCAGTCATGCTGAAAACCAGCACTGAGTTATAGTCTGTGCGCTTAGAGAAACCATTTCAGGACAGATTCAGAATTTACTCACTATCGAATGTTAAGGTTAGTTCAGAATTAGTGATATTTAATTCAGGTTATAGTAAGCTTGAGACAAAACAGGCACTAGTTCAAAATTTGTGAGCTTCATCTCAGCATTACCATAAGCTGGGCTGAAGGCAGTGACCTTGAGAAGGTCCAATATCCAATATCCAATATCCAATATCGTTTTTACGAGCTAGTCATTGGAAGATGAGGTTGCAATTAGCGCTAGTGAGTACATTCACAAAATTCTCACTGTGATTGATTTTGAAGGCACTTTTAATCTGCGCCTATTATATTCTCATCTCTTTCTATTCTGTTAGTCCTTCATCTCATAATATTCACAGAACCCAGTGTTCTGATAATGCACCAGCTGCGAGGATTGACAGATTGAAAGCTCTTTCTTGATTCGGTGGATGGTGTTGCATGGCCGTTCTTAGTTGGTGGAGCGATTTGTCTGGTTAATTCCTCTAACGAACGAGACTTTAACCTACTAAATAGTGGACTGGTCCTCTGTAATCATTCACGGCTTCTATTGTTTCTTTATGGAGTAGTGTGGTCGTGATCCGGCGGGTACGGTGCCAGTTTTAACTTCTTAGAGGAACTGACGGCACATTGAAGTCGTACGAAATTGATCAATAACAAGTCTGTGATGCCCTTGGATGTCCGGGGCCACATGTGCACTACAAAGACGGTGCCAGCGAGTCTAAGAACCTGGCCCGAAAGGGCTGGGCAAAATATTTTATCACCGTCGTGATTGGGATCGGGGCCTCAATTTATTTCTCGTGAACGAGGAATTTCTGGTCAGTGCAAGTCATAAGCTTGCGCTGATTACATCGTTCTTTTTATAAACAGGTTAGTCTGACATGCGTTATCTGATATCTATGGTCGGCCTGCGAAATTTGGGCTACCGATACCCATGCTGAAAATTCCATACTTGTACCGAAAATACAGTGTGGAATCAAGCTGTAATCAAAAATAAAATAAAATAAAAAATAAAATAGCAAAGGCATTGGAAACTATTATAAGGGATCAGATATTAGCTTATGTTGGAAAACACGGCTTGCTGGAGGTAGAACATCTTTGATTCCGACCAGGATGATTCTGCCTGACAAGCCTACTATTGGCCAAGAAAGACTGGGTTGAAGCCGAAGATAAAGGCCTTCTGTTGGACGTGGTTTTTATCGATTTTAGCAAGGCATTCGATAAAATATCCCACTTAGGTCTCCTTAGTAAACTTAAAGGTTTCGGACTACACCAATGCCTATGTGAGTGGCTTAGGGATTACCTAATGGATAGAAGGCAGAAGGTTAGAGTTAACGGTGTACTCTCAGGGTGGAAAGCAGTATCCAGTGGAGTGTCCCAGGGAACTGCATTAGGCCCCTTGCTAATCCTATTATACATTAATGAACTACCGGGTATTCTTACTTCGTCTTCATTATTATTTGCAGACGACATTGAGATACGGAAAACTGTAAATAATAACGAGGATAGGTCGGCCCTACAAACCGATCTAGATAAATTAGCTGAGTGGTCGAACCTGTGGAGTTTGGAAATGAATTCTAGGAAAAGCGCAGTAATGCACTTAGTTCAGAAGTCTTATACGTCGTACTCCCTAGGGGACACAGAACTACCTGATGTTAACGAGAGAAGGACCTAGGAATCATTGTCAGCAATGATTTAAAAACAACAGCGAATTGCAATTCAGCCGCGGCCAAGGCCTTACAAATGCTATGGACACTTCGAAGAACTTTCAAACGACGAGACGAGGACATGTTCCAAGTACTCAACGCAACGTTTGTCAGCCCTCATCTAGAATACTGCGTACAAGCGGGGAGTTCAAGCTTCAAAAAGGAGGCACATATTCTGGAAAGGGTGCAGAGAGTAGGAACGAAATCAGTCAGCGGTATCTCACATCATCCTTTTGATAAGAGGATGGAGCATTTAAATCTACCGAAGTAAGAGAGGCGACTTAATTTTAGCATGCCGTAAACTCAAGGATGATTTAGGAACTGACCTTTCTAACCTTTTCTCCCCTTCTAGGATACATTTACGGGGTCACTGCAAAAAGGTGCTCAAACCAAGGACGATTAAAATGCATGCAGAATTTAGATTCTCTCACAGAGTGGTTGACGACTGGAACTCCTTACCTGATTCAGTAGTACCAACTCCATCAGTGAACGCTTTCAAAGAGAAGCTTTATCTCTGCAGATATATTTTGCAAGGATTGATACAAGCCACAAGAACCTTCTATCCTTATCATCTGAATCTAAATCTGAGTAGGAAACTTATGAGGACTAAATTTATTGCAGACATTTTCAAATTTTGGATTAAACATAAATATACATACGTTATCCATCTACCCTGCTAGAACAGGGCCTTGGCCGCACTATCTGAAGACTCTCTAACTTGTCCACTAGAGTTTGTGATTACACTGCTCCTAAAACCTCCACGACTAGGAAAGGAAGATTGCAACAATTACAGCTGTCCAAGGATGTTTTTATTAACGATGATATGAAGGGAGTACAATCACACCACAATGCGGAGCCTCACTCATGTTCCTAAAGAACCCTATTTGTCTGTAATGTAATCAAGTCAGCACAGTGGTTAGGACTCTCGCTGACCGTGCATATGATCCGGGGTTCGATCCCTTCCCAACGCACACCTGATATCAATGGTCAGCCTGAAAAATTTGGGCTACCGATATCACATGCTGAAAAGTCCATACTTGTACCGTAAATACGGTGTGGAATCAAGCTGTAAAGAAAACGAAACTGATCGCTTAAAGTGAAATGACTGAGATGCATTGGAACAAATGAACTTTCAGCTCTAATGGATGAGGTAGTATAAAATTCTAGGTTGCCTTCTAACCACCAAGAGCTATCTGAGACGCAAATTATTCCCATTGCCACTCATCATGAGTTGGTGACAGCCTCCAGCTCCGAAACTCTGGAGGTGGACGACATTAGTTCTGATGAGTGCTTCGATTTTACCTGTTTGTGCATGGCCTATCAGGACTTATTCGTATAGCCCAATCTTTCGCAGTCTATATCTTTAGGAACATGATATCAAGCTATCGTTTGCCGCATAGATTAGGCCACCGTTCCTGATCTAACAGTTCCTGTCGTCCAAGTAGATTACTGCTGCACACCGACTCGTTAAATAGGATGAGTGTCAATCACGTCTCATAAACCGTTAATGCCCAGCTCTCGCTACGCTCGGGCCCACGCTGTTCCTTTGAGTTTCAGAAACGCTTAGTAATAACGGACGCAAAAACCAAAACACCGATCTGCCGCTTGTTATTTCTTTATTGTTACACCAACATATAAAAGGAATAAACGAACTAAGCAAACTAAGGTCTGAAAACAAATATTACAATAATAAATCATAGTACTACTTCTGACGATGTTTCACTTTTCTTTCTGAACACCGACCGATGAGACGATGACTGTCGTATTGATGCCTCCGCGAAAATTGGGGAAGTTGATTTTAAGCAAACAACCAAGAATTGATCGTTCAATCTTCAACTCCATTGACACTCCCCGGCAAAAAGGGATCCAACCCTTTTTTCCTTCACGACCAATGCACGTCGACTTGGATGCCATTGCGAGAACCTGGGTCACACGGACAGAGCTGAAATGGAAAACAAACAGAAAAGCCAACACACCACAAGCATACCCACAGCACAATCTCACACATCAATGACGACCCGAGCGTCCAGACATAGACCTCCTCTTGACATCTTGCAACACAATCACCGCTTGCTGGAATGACTCTTGCAGAATGCAAAGTGACCATGGCAGGACCTCACGATACTCTACGCACATCTTCTTAATAACTCACTACCAATTACCATTGAAATCGCTTGTCACTCATTCTGCCTCAGTTCTAGTAGCGGTGACGCATGCGAGCCTCAGTTGTTTACACTCTTTCTCCCCGGCGTGTGGGATCGCAGTTAACAATTATCTCCGTGTGCATTTCATTCTCAGCAATAGCCTAGCCTCCCCGGCGTATACGACCCATCTGCTGTCTCTAACATCAATCAATTCATTCATGGACGTAGAAGACTAGAAACAACTTCAGAAGTAATCATGATCATTATCACGAATATTCACTTTACCGTCAACTTCATCATTTTCAAACTCTTTAATAACAGAAGTAGACAATTTCGGTTCCTCCTCGCAAATCATAAAAGGTTTTATAACTTCACTCTGACTAGTAATACCTTGTAAACTTTTGGAGTCAGAACTCCACTCTGAAGCAGTAACTCTATTCTGTGACACTCTATTCAGCAACGGCTTACCAGTTGCAACTACAGACTTCTTCACAACAACGTTATCGTCACACAATTCGGAGTCAGACCTGGAGTTTACATTTAGCTTATCACTAAACTTGCTCACTGGTTCACAGTTCACTTCTGTATGCACCTCTTGCACACGTGTAAACCACAACCGTGTTTGTCTTGCATCTTGTAACTTATCTGTTGAGGATGTACTACGAAAGCTGTTACACTCACCAGGTCTATATGCATTACTAGACATCATGGAGTCTTTTCGATATCCACCTCTCTGAGGCTTATTCGTCATCAATGAGTGCGTTTTACCCTCAGACTGCTCTATTCTAGGGGTGAGATCTAACAGACTGGAAAACTTGCTCATAGATTGATTGACGCTATCCTTTACCAGTTTCAGGATATCATCAAACTTTGGCTCGATACCCTCATCCTCCATACGGGAGCTCATCTTCACCCACTTCCTTTGCAGTCGAGTAGGTAGACGTCTTGCTATTACTTCTAGTATAAAACTCGAGTTGAGGTCACTCATTCGATTCATCGAAATCATTCCATTCTTGTAAATTAGCAAATTATCTAAAAACTCAGTGAGTGCCTGGGAGTCATCCTGTAACTGACCACCATTACCCTTAACAGCCTCGAATAATTTCCCTGCAATCATCGAAGGTCTTCCAAACCTTTGACGTAATATGCTCATAGCCTCGTAGTAGCCCTCTTTTGGCTTCATAAACTTACAACACTGTATAACTCTTGCAGCATCTCCAGTGCAATATCTCATCAAATACATTAACTTCAATTCATCATTTAATAAAAAACCACTCAACATGATCTCAAACTCCTTTACAAATTGTA